TGTCATTTTTAAGTGATAAATGACTTATGTGAACAGCTTCTTTAGAGGGGACACTTGCCTCTAAACTTAATTCCTCCTCTTCCATTTCTTTATTCTTTAAGGGAAGACTTGTTTTTTCTTTCTTTTGTTTTTGTTTTTGCCTTTTTTTTTCTCTTCTTCTTCTCTTTTAGCTTTCATCTTGAGTTGGTCCTCACTCACTTGAGAAGGTGATAGAGGACACAACACAAGCTTCTTGCCTAAGTGTTGGAAACTTATTTTATTGGTGAGGCCATCATGGATTGTTTTCTTGTCAGATTTATGTGGCCTCCCAAGCAAAACATGACTAGCCTCCAATGACACTATATCACATAAGATCTCATCTTTATACTTGCCAATGGAGATTGATATGTTTACTTGTTGGTTAACTACAATACCTCCTTCCTCATTTATCCATTGTAATTTGTAAGGTTTAGGATGAGGTATGGTAGTTAAGGCTAACTTCTCAACCAATCTAGTGATACAACAATTGCAACTAGACCCACTATCTACAATGAGAGAACAAGTGTTTTTTAAAATCTTGTATTTTATGTGAAACAAGTTTTCTCTTTGAGATTGGTCAATTTCACTAGATTTGTTGCCAATGAGCCTTTTAACAATTAGTAAGCCTCTTTCACATGGGTAAGTTTCTTCCTCAAAATCCATGCCTTCATTTTCACTACTAGAACTAGAAGAAGATGAAGTAGATTTGTACAGGTTTTTCGAGCAAGTGCACCTAAGTCTCTATAGTATAGTGAAAAGGTTGTTAGTCCTCAGGGACTTGTGAAGTAGATTTTGATTTATATTACACTAATTGTTACTTGTAAATTTAAAGCTTGAATAATTACACATTCTAAATATTTAATGTGAGCGGTAAATTAAACTTAAGTAAAGAAAATCAAGTTAAATTTAAGAAAAATAGATATCAGAAACAGTTGGGATTAAATTTCATCAATCTCCCTCCTATGTATTCCTAATGATTCTTACAAATGATTCCATTACTCATTGCCATTGAGTTCTCTCTATTCATTCAGAGCCAATTCCTTGGCATAAGAAATTCTAAGATATTTAACTCAATGAATGATTCCTCACTTCATCCAGTTAAATGTCTTACATGAAGAATCAGAACTTGTTGCAACTATTAATTTCAAAACCATTCCTGGCTTACAAAACTAATAGGTGATTTGTTTCAAATCTAGATTCAGAAAAAATTTTCCAACCAAATTCTAAATTCGAGATCAAAGATAAATGACCAGTTTATCAAAGCATTAAGAATAGAATACAAATCACTGGCACTGAATAATAGATAATATATATATAAGAATCAAAAAGGAATACACAAGAGATCAATGACTACATCAATCCCAACCCAAGAGCTTTAGCTCTCCATAGAAGAAATCACAAGATGGAAATAGCTAGAAGAAAGGTAGAAGAGGAGAGATTGATCCTAAGAACTGTGTTCCCACGAGCTCCAAGATGCTCTATTTTGTTTCCCCTTCTCTATTCTTCTCTCATGCCACTTATGATATTTTTTTTCTCTCTCCTCTGCCCTTCTATAGTTACTGGAAGCAAAACAGAGTAGGCAATAAAGAGAAGGAACCGCTCAGCGCCTGGAAACGGCTATGTGGATTGGAGAATCCTTCATCATGAAGAAATTTGAAGGGCTGAGCCCTTTTTATCCGTTAAGCGCCTAGGAGACTCCTTCATCCTTAAGTAATCCAAAGGGCTGAGCCCTTTTTCCTCTACTCCATTAATTGCTTGCGGCCTTAAGAGCCCTCAGCTCCTTGAAAGGGCTGATCCATTTGCTTCCAAAAACTCCTTGTTTCAATCTTCAAAATCTGCAAAATAAAGGGATATTTTGATAAGAAGAATCATCACTCCATATAATGACTTCAATTAAGTGCCCCTTTTTGATTCCATATGTATTTGCCATAATTTTATCATTATATCCAAAAAATTTGTGCTAGATAAGTGTCTTAAATTAATATTTCATTAGGCCAATTAGACACTTATCAAGCTACCCCCAACTTTTAGAAATTTGTTTATCCTAAAACAAAAAGCTTTGATTAAACTAAACAAAAGTATATTAGCTTATATACCCAGTGAATCAATTTAAGTTTCACCCAAAAAATATGTTAATGCATTTACATGGTTTCCAAGAGTCTAATGAGAGCTGTTTGCAAAATCCAGTGTGCTTACATGCAAGTTACTACAGATGGTGCCCACATGATAACAAAAATTATGAACATCAAGCATACTCAAGGGAAATATCCACTCCTCTTCCATTGCTTTCAATCAAGAGCACTAAGGATTTTCTCACAACTGTGTATCTCTCATTAATATGCTGTGAAGGGTGAGTGGTTCTCTCTTTTCATGCACCAAAACACACTAAGTATGCTTTGTTACATGTCTCCCATAAGTCTATTGTTAGAGCTAAACATGGATCACTAAGGACTTTAAGAGGGTTGTAGTGTGGCCTGGCTATAAGAGAACTTGGTTTTTCTTTGGGAATTAAGAGGCCTGTTTGGCAAGAGAACATTTTCACTCATATTGGTTTCTATCAAATCCTTGTTTTTGCTTGAATTCTCTTGCTCCTTCTATTTCATCCCTCTTGACTATATTTATTGGTTCCCTTCTCTCAGGATCTTACATTTTATCAAAGGAATGGTGACAAGGAACCCTAAATGTAAACTTCTTCTTCTTTTTTTTTTGTTGTGTTTTTTTTGTTTTTGTTTTTGTTTTTTGTTTTTTGACACTGAGAATAATACTTTGCCTGTACAAGTCTAGCCACATGAACATTATGTACATTTACCCCAAACTTGGCACAAACCCACTTGTTTCACGAAAATGTCTCTTACCAATCAAGGCTTAAGGGTTCTGTATAGGCTCAAAATGGTTGATCAAGGGTTGATGTAGTTCATGGGTTGGCTTTATGGCTACTGGGCTAAGTATAATGAAAAATTTCCTTAGTTAATTCCATGCATAACCCAATTGTAACTCATAAGAGACTAAAACAAAACTGACTGCATGAATCAGTGATGACTCTCAATGAATGAATTTACTGTTTGGCCCACTCACTCACATGGTTTGGTTAAGTGCCCTACATCTCAACAACTTTAGACTTGTTTCAATTTCACTTGAACATACTTGAAGCACACAATTTAAGTCAAAAATGTACAACCATTTGTGCAACAAAGTAAACTTCCAAATTAGAAGACAATGCTCATTGTAAACTTGAACCATGAAAATGCTCCATCCAAAAAGATTTTCAATTTAGTTTTCAAAAAGGATTTCGTTATCACAATCAGTGGACCCAACAAAAATTAGTACCTTACTTCAAAACCATGTAACAAACACAAGTTCAACCACAAAAAAAATCCAGATAAACTAATTAACGAAACCACCAAAAATACTTACCAAATAACAGATAAGAAACCAAAGAAATTAAACCAAATACTAAAAATAAAGTACCACAAATCAAAGTAAAATTTGGAAAGTAAAGACCTGCAGAATAAATTAAAATAAAACAAGCAGAAGATACTTCAATCATCCTCTCCTTTATCATCTCCATCTTCCTCTTCTTCACCTTCTTCTTCATGCTCTGGCTGCTCCTCTACCACACCTTCTTCTTCTTGACTAGCTATTCCTCTGAGTCACTAGGTGGTGGATTGGATGATGCTTGACCTTTCTTTTCTTCCTTGTAGGGATTTCATAAGTGTGAGAGGTGGCTTTGGTCCTTACCATCTGCATGAAGTGATCCAAAAATAAGACAAGTAAGTTAAGGAACAAGAATGCAGCACAAAAGGCCAAATAAAACTGAACAGCGCATGAATGGGTCAGCCCTTTGGCCAAAATTGAATGCGGCCCTTAAACTGCTCAACCATTTAAAACGGCCGAGCCCTTTGAGTGCAGGGGCTAAAAATTTTCTCTTTTACAAAGAATCATTCCTTGCAAGTCACAAAATGATTTTCCACATTTATTCACTACAGTCCCCAAATTAATTTGCTCAACAATAAACAAATTGGTACCAATGAAGCACAAACAAAAATCTTTCATATTATCACTACAGTCCCCAAATTAATTTTCTCAACAACAACAAATTTGTATCAATGAAGCAAAAACAAGAATTTTTCATATCATTCAACCATAAACCCTTAATAATAAAAATTGATCCATGAACTTAAGGCATGCATAACAATATTTGCATTGAAGAACAAGAGAAAGTAGAGAGAGAGAGAGTAAAAGGAGAAAACTTGAAGGCTTACCTTGAAAGCATTGAGAATGAAAGACAAATAGAGGGACAATTTCTTTTTAAAACTGTTCTTGGATCGGGCTTTCTCAAAAAAAATTTTCAAGGCCCGTGTTGAATCGCTCAGCGGTTTTAAAGCACTGGGCGCTTTAGCCACCTCGAGCATTCCACTCAAAATGCTGAGCCTTTTTTAGGCACTCAGCCCTTTGTTCCAGGAGTTGCTTTTAAAATTCATTCATGAAGCGCTGGGCCTTTTTTAGGCGCTCATCTGTTTGGGTGACGCGAGCAATATCAAGAAAAATGATGAGCGCTTTGAAACCGCTCAGCCGTTTGATGCAAAAATCTCAACTAAATTTTTTTGTTGATATGAGGGGCTGAGCCCTTAAAAAGGACTGAGTCGTTTTCCCCCTGGGAGGAAAATGTAGCTAACAATTAGATGTGGCAGCCAAAGGGCTGAGCCTTTTTCTTAGTTTTGTGAACGTACATGGAAGAAGTACATTTTGTTCTCCTTTCACACTCCCACTTCTAGTTACCTTCAATAAACTATAAAAAAACATAACACAAGAGAGGAGAATGTTGAAGGAACATTTGATAGAATGCACAATCAAAACATCAAATCACAAACTCAACTCTTCAAAAGCCTAACTACATATGTAAAGGATTAAACTTAAAATGAAAAATAGAATTCAAACCAAAATGGCTGGGTTGCCTCCCAGTAAGCTCTTCTTTATTGTCATTAGCTTGACACTTCACTCAATCGTGGGTCATTAAGATGAATGACAATGGTAAGTTTCTCAACTTCACCACCCAGATATGGCGTAATCCTCTGACCATTAACCATCCAAGATCTTCCAGAATTTGGCTCTTCGAACTCTACTGCCCCATAATGTTTGACTGATTTGATCACAAAGGGACCTGACCATTTGGACTTGAGCTTTCTAAGGAATAATCTTAACCTGGAATTGAACAATAACACTTGCTGGCCTGGTTGGAAGTTTCTCTGCACAATTTTCCTGTCATGGTAGGATTTTACCTTACTCTTGTAAAATTTTGAGGATTCACAAGCATGCAAATGCATTTCTTCAAGTTTATGTAATTGAAGCTTCCTCTTTTCACCTGCAGCTTTCATATCAAAATTTAATGCCTTCTCTACTGGTGTGGCTAATGAAAATTTTCTTTCAGCTTCCAAACACACTACATCCATCACATCCACTCTAAAATAATTTTTTTTTTCATTTGGGTGTTTCATAGCTTCAAAAATATTAAAATTCACCTCCTCATCCTACACCCTGACCTTGAGTTTGCCATCATCAACATCTATAATGACCTTAGCTGTCTTCATGAATGGTCGACCTAGAATGAGAGGAACCTCAGAATCCTCTTCCATATCCATGACAACAAAATCAACTGGAAAGAAAAATTTATCAACCTTAACCAAGAGATCTTCAACAATACCATGATGGTACTTAATAGATTTGTCAGCCAGCTGCAGAGTCATCCTAGTAGGTCTCACCTCCACATCACCTATCCTCTATGACATAGATAAGGGCATAAGATTGATGCTAGCCCCTAAATCTAATAATGTCTTGCCCACAGAGAGATCGCCAATGGTGACTGGCAAGGTAAAACTCCCTAGGTCTCTATATTTTTGCAGAAGTGATCTTTGAATTATAGCACTGCAACCTGCCTCTAATTCCACTGTTTCATCCTCACTAAGTTTTCTCTTCTTTATCAAAAGCTCCTTCATGAATCTTGCATAAGATGGCATCTGTTCTAGGGCCTCTGCAAAGGGTATGTTGATCTGTAACCTATTGATTGTATCAAGGAACCTTGGAAGCTGTCGTTCCTTATCTTTCTTTGATGGAGCATGTGGGTAAGGTAAATTCTTCATAGGAGGAGGTCTATTAACTTCTTTCCTTTTCTTCTTACTCTTCTCCCTCACAGCTCCATTACTCCTCTCATCTTTTTCACTCTTTTTTTTATTATTTTCTATTTTTCCTGCCTCTTTATTCAACTCCACCTCTTTCTCACTTTCAAACTCAACTACACTGTTTTCTTTATCTTGCTCATCTTTATTTTCTCTCAAATTATCACCTATCCCTCTTTCTATCATAGTGCCTCTCCTGGTTGTAATTGATTGACAATACTCTTTAGGATTGACCTGTGTATTGGCTAAAAAGTTATTGCTTTGCTGCTCTGCCAATTGCTTAGCCAACTGCCCTATTTGTACTTCCAGATTTCTAATAAAAGCTTCAGTATTTTTCTGATTAGTTATATAAACCTGCATGAATTGTGTAAGGGCTTCCTCCATTTTTGTTAGCTTATCCGGTTGATAAGAATGTTGATTCTGATATGGCTTTTGTGGAGGTTGCCTTTTTGATGGCCCTGCTTCTTGCTTCCAACCAGAATATTGATTTTGATTATTCCTCCAACCTTGATTCTGATTGTAATTGCCAGAGAAATTCCCTTGCCTTCCTGGATTGTTCATGTAATTCACTTCTTCCTCCTAGTCTGACTCAGTTATGCTGCAATGTCCATTTGGATGATCACCTGTACAAAAATCACATCTCATTACCTGTTGAGGGTGTGAAGATGATCCCACTTGAAGCTTGGACATCTATTTCTTTAATTCTTCCATCTGTTGAGAAAGAAGTTTATTTTGAGCTAGAATTGCATTTTGAGTATCTAATTCCAGAATTCTTTTTTTTGTGGGCTGGCTTCTATCATGGTGGGCTTGGTAATCACTAGTTGCTAAAGCATCAATAATAGTGATTGCTTCCTCAGAATCATTCATCATCATAGAACCACCTGTAGAAGCATCCAATAGCATTTTTGTTTGTGGCATTAACCCATTACAGAACATCTTAAGTTGTGCAACATCATCAAACCCGTGATTTGGGCATTTTCTCAATAAGGACTTATATCTCTCCCAAGCTTCACATAAAGGTTCATCAGTGCCTTGAGAGAAAGTTTTTATTTCTGATTTGGCACTTATATATCTGGACAGAGGAAAGAATCTAGCAAAAAACTTCCGCTCTACATCCTCCCATCTGGTCAAACTCTGATTTGGGTGGGCTTGCAACCATGTCTTGGCTTTACCTGTCAAAGAAAAAGGAAACAATCGTAGAAATACCGCTTCTTCATCTTCTCCAGGAACGCCCATAGTGCTAATGAGCTCATAGAAAATAGACAGATGAGTGTAGGGATCTCCATGATCCATCCCTGCAAATTGATTGACAGTTATGAGAGATAATAATGCTGGTTTCATTTCCACCCCCTTGGTTGGCCTGACAATACTAGAGAAGTGCCTAGGACACAACTGATGATTATATTCTCCTAAGAGTCTCCTTGGGGGATGATGATGTGGTCTATCACCACCTGGTCCTTCTTCAGCCATTAATTCAGGAGTAGAATGTTGAGCTGAAACTGAGGTGAAGGTACCTTCCTGTCCCTGCCTTTCCTCTTCAAGCTTCCTTTGCCGCCTTCGTTTACTATTATTTTTCCTAGTTGTTTTCTCAATCTCTGGATCAAATAGCAAATGCTCAGCAAGAACTTTACCTCACATACAAAGAGTGACTTAAACAGAAAAGTTAAAACAATCAGTTAAAGAATATTTTAACAAAAAGAAAATAAAATAAATATATACAAACAAGCTACAACAAGAATAATAGAAATCACAAACTATCTTGACACAAGTCCCCGGCAACGACGCCAAGAAACTTGTTAGTTTTCTGAGCAAGTGCACCCAAGTCTCTGTAGTATAGTAAAAGTTTAAGAAAACAGATATGAGAAAGAGTTGGGATTAAATTTCATCAATCTTTCTCCTATGTATTCCTAATGATTCTTGCAAATGATTCCATTACTCATTTCCATTGAGTTCTCTATATTCATTCAAACCTAATTCCTTGGCATAAGAAATTCTAAGATATTTAACTCAATAAATGATTCCTCACTTCATTCAGTTAAATGTCTTGCATTAAGAATCAGAACTTGTTGCAACTATTAATTTCAAAACCATCCCTGGCTTTCAAAACTAATAGGTGATTTGTTTCAAATCAAGATTCATAAAACATTTTCCAACCAAATTCTAAATCCAAGATCAAAGATAAATGATCAGTTTATCTAAGCATTAAGAACAGAATATAAATCACTGACACTGAATAATAGATAATATATATATA